CCAAAAAAATTTAAAAAAGTAATGGATAAAAAGGTAAGGGAAATAAACTTAGATAGGATAGGGGATTGGATGAAGGTGGAAATGAAGAGGGAAATGATGTTGGAAGAGTTTAAAGAAATAAAATTGTCATGGTTTCATTGTATACAATTAGAACAATGGTTAATAAACTGGAAAAAAAATAATAGAAATGGAAGCCAACTCAATCAATTCGAACAAATAATACAGAAGGGAAGGACGGTAGAAGAACACGAAAACTTGAGAGGTATAATTAGCAAAATTTATAAGATATTAATTGAAATGAAAGATGAAAAAACAAAAAAGTGCACCCTTAAAGATTTGGGAAGAAGATTTAGGGATAAAAATAAGCGAAATAGAGTGGCAACAATTATGGGGACAAAGACATTTAAAAAATTTATCGATACGAGTTAAAGAAAATTATTACAAGTTAATATGGAAGTGGTACTTGACACCGGTAAGAATAGCATATATGAATAAAAATAACTCAATAAATTGTTGGAGAGGGTGTCAAGAACCAGGAACATATATACATATGTGGTGGCAATGTAAATATGTAAATAATTTTTGGGGGAAAGTATTTAGAGAAATAGAAGATATAATGAATACTAAAATAGAAAGTCCCAGTATAGCTTTATTATCATTATATAACAATAAACAATTGAAAAAAGAGGATAAAGAAGCGATAACAAATTTATTAACAATAGCAAGATTGCTTATAGCAAGAAACTGGAAAAAAGAAATAAATATACAAATAGAGGAGTGGTATAAGGAAGTATGGAAACTGGCAATAAATGATAAGCTGACATGTATATTAAAAGTTAAAAGAGGTATATGGAAACAAAGCGATTTTGATGCTGTATGGGAAGATTTGTGGTAAATGGATTAAAAAATAAGGAAGGAAAATTACCGTCACAAGAAGAAATGAAATTTTGGACAGATGAAATGTAAGAAGGGTGGCTTGAAATGGGTGGAGGGGAGCACTGTGGTGGAAAAAGGGGGGGAAAAAAATGAGAAAAAGGGGGAGAAATGTTAGAGTAAAATAATAAAATAACATGTTAAAGAGGTTGATGTACAAAATGTAATAGTATGTAATAAAGTGATAAATCAATAAAAATTTAAAAAAAAAAATAAACTGTTATATACATGTACCACACGAGCAGAAATGTGTACTCTAGTACTCAAATCAATATGTCAACATATTTAGACTGTAGCATGTTAAACAGTATTCGTGGGTTAGTTTGATTTGACTGGGCTGTTGCTAAGTTCCTTTTAGGACACTGCTACTCAAAGCAGTAGTCAATGGACAAGTGCTTCACTTCTGCAGTGCCAGGCTTCCTTTGTTAGGTCCTTGAGAGTTGTAACTCTTTTTGGGAAATTAGATATCTTGGAAATGATCAAACAGCATATTTGCTATTATTGATATTACTACTACTATTACAACCACATTTATTTATATAGCAAAGGACAACTACCAAAACCTTGCTTTGCAGATGGCAATCTTCTTATCAAAATCATTTAATAATAATAATAATAATAATAATAATAATAATAATAATAATAATTTTATTTCTTACCCGCCTCTCCTCATGGCACAAGGTGGGTTACAACATCATTAAAACACACAATCATCTAAAAACATGCTGTAAAATACATGTATTGAAACATATTTATACAAAATACATATTAAAATACTGGGTTGCTGTGAATTTTCCAGGCTGAATGGCTATGTTCCAGAAGCATTCTCTCCTGATATTTCACCCACATCTATGGCAAACATCCTCAGAGGTTGTGAGTTCTATTGGAAACTAGGCAAGTGAGGTTTCCAACAGATCTCACAACCTCTGAGGATGCCTGCCATAGATGTGGGCAAAATGTCAGGAGAGAATGCTTCTGGCACATGGTCATACAGCCTGGAAAACTTACAACAACCCAGTGATTCCAGCCATGAAAGCCTTTGACAACATATATTAAAATACACAGAACAAAGTTTAAACTTAAGAGGCAAGTTTAAAATTAGTGATTTTAAATTATGCTATTCCTTTTTCATCCTGAGCAACATGCTCCTGGAGAGGGTTTGAAGCAGTGCTTAATACTCACTGGAACATTGACTTGAGGAGATAAACAATTTACCATTACAATCTCTGCAAACCCTCACATCATCATCCCCTCTCCAACCTTTCCTAGTGCCTTGGACTACTTGCCATGGTTTCTCTTCCCTCTTAAGTGAACAGCCAGACACCTAGTTTGGAAACAGAGACCATACCTCTGCCTGACGACTCAGAAAGCAGAGGTCCGGTCTGTTCTCGAGTTTCACAGAAGAAGGGCCTAGAAACAGAGAATATACTCTCAAGGGGTTAGAAAAGGTATAGAAAGCACTTGCTGCAAACAATGCCATGTAGTCATTTAGTAAAAAAGCATGCCTGAGCGGCAAGGAAAAATATTCCAATATAATTTTTATCTTTTGCTTAACCTTTTGTACATTTGCTATTTTTTCTTAAAATGACATGAAAGGCAACTCTATAAAATAATACAAATAATAAAATCAGGTTTTTGCTATCTGTTTTGTTTTCAATTACTCCCAATCATTAGTCTTCTCCAATAATTTTGCCTTTTTCAATACTACACTGAAAAAGGCAAAATCATTACATGAAAAAACAATTATTAAATGGAAAAATTGGGGGGGGGGGGAGAGCTCTTTTAGAATAAAGTTCCAATTACAATAAGCAGAGTCACTCCTAAATGGGTCCAGTTCTTTGCCCCACCTGATGTGATTAGTTAAGAAGATTGTCTCATTTTCATAATACAAATAATGCCCTGTCAACTTACTGCCAAATTTAGTCCAGACTTTATTTTACTGCTTACCTAAGATAGTAAAATTGCAGTGCTTACCTCAGTTCAAACAAAGTACAAATGACAAAAATAATTCTGAGGAGTTTCCTCCTAAAATAAAGCTTTTCTACCTCCCTGTCCTAAACAGTATTTCCATCACTGTTAGTATCCCTTTTATTATTTCATTTCTTGGATGTATTTTAATAGATTCTAAATATCTAACCATATTTATTTTTGTTGACAATGTACCTTTCATTCATGTATGTCCTTTTCGGTCAAATTCAGGACAACAAAAATAAATTTAAAACTCCCCTCCCCACGCAATAAAATCAAATTACTTACTTCCAACAGAATTTTCTATTGCCTCCTGGCATTTCTGAATGCCCAGCCTGAATTTCTGCAACTCTGGTCTAAGCTTGTGGCCTCGATGGTAAAAGACTAAGGCAAATTCAAAATCCCCCATGGTGTATAAGGCCTCAGCTTTCTGGTATAGTCCCTGTAACAAAGAACAAAATTACTGGACAGAAGAAGAAAAAGACATCATTGACATCATGTATGTCTGTATGAACAGCAATCAACAACTGTAAGAGTGTTGCTTCTTCCTATAACTGAGAAGTTTCAAGATGCTTCCAATTCCAAGAGTCTGATTGCTGATGAAGGACAGCTTCTCCTTTCTGTCTTCACTTTTGCATCTTTTCTCTATCCTGAAGAGAGTCCTATCAAAGAATTCAAACACTGATTCAACTGCCCTAAGTAAAGGTAAAGGTTTCTTTCCCCTTGACATTAAGTCTAGTTGTGTCCGACTCTTGGGGGGGGGGGGGTGCCCATCTCCATTTCTAAGCCAAAGAGCCAGCGTTGACCATAGATGCGTCCTAAGTCATGTGGCTGGCATGACTGCATGGAGCGGCATTTAAAACTTGGCATTTCTGATGTGCTTTTGGAGAGTGACCATATATTTCATTTCTGGTGTTTCACCTACAGTGTTGTCCTCATTTTGCACGTCCCCCCACCTTACTGAAGGCCTAGCTCCACTGTTCCATCCCCTACGAGCTCCTCCTTTATAAACATATCTTTTTACTGCTATCTCATCCAGAGTTTTATTATTTTAAGTTATGTATTTGGCCCGCCCACTGCGTTTGATTTTTCGTTATGTTATTTTGCACTGTTTATTTTACTTGAATGTTTTATTTATTCCATTGTGAAGAAAAATATATATAACATCTTCCACATATTTCATTCAAAAATTCCGTAATAAACTGAGTAAAAGAACCCTTAAGATTAAAGGAAGAAGGGGGAGGGGGAGGGAGAAAGAGAAGGAGAAGGACTTTATTTTTCTACCCCGCCTCCGTCTCCCCGAAGGGGCAGCTTACATGGGGCCCAAGCCCAAGGGAGAATACAGATAAAAACAAAGCAAAAACCATTAAGACAGCATAAAACAGCATAAAACAACATAACAATAATAGCTAGCAACAACAATAACAGTAGACTAATTTTTGAGGGGGAGGGGAGGAAAACCACTACGTGAACTAGTTAAAGGATACGTAAGGTGGATAACAATGTATAACGGCATAAGAAATATCATGGAAACAGAGTAAATTAACAGGATCAGTTAATATAGTATAGGACATCAGATTGAATGACAATTCAAGTCATGATACAGGCCATTTGTCATAGGAATAAGCCTCCTGATCTACTAGTTGCCCACCTTGGTAAATTCCTTGTCAGCTGCCAGCGAGTCTTCTGCATCCCTCAAGGCATTTTCTGTATCTCCTAGTCTTAGGTAGCACTTTGAGCGGGCAACAAGGCAGTTCCTGTCCGCTGGCTGGAGCTGCAGGGCCTAATAAACAAATATATGGTATTCACCGTCAATGAAATTATCACAGTAGCTAGCTGACCATTCCCTTTTCTTTTGCCTTTCACAGATGACAACAGAGATATTTTATGCCATGGTTCTCGCAACTTCAAAAGGTGTACTCCCTCCAATATTGTGTTGGAGTTGGGTGCCATCTTTATGCAGATGATGCCCAACTCTATTACTCTTTTCCACCTAACTCCAAGGAAGCCGCTCGGGTGCTGGACGAGTGCCTGGCCACTGTGGCTGTCTGGGTGAGGATGAATCCTGACAAGACAGAGGTCCTCCTGGTCGATCGTAAGCCAGATCGGGGTATAGGGTGGCAACCTGTGCTGGATGGGGTTGCACTCCCCCTGAAGTCACAGGCCCGCAGCTTGGGTGTTCTCCTGGACTCATTACTTATGCTTGAAGCTCAGGCGTTGGCGGTGGCCAGGAGGGCCTTCGCACAATTAAGACTCATGTGCCAGCTGCGACCATACCTCGTGAAGGTGGATCTGGCCAGGGTGGTTCATGCCTTAGTCACCTCCAGAATGGATTACTGTAATGCACTCTACGTGGGGCTGCCCTTGAAAACGGCCTGGAAATTTCAATTGGTACAATGGGCGGCAGCCAGGTTGTTAACTGGTGCTCCTTACAGGGAGTGGTCAACCCTTCTGTTCAAGGAGCTCCATTGGCTGCTATTCATTTTCCGGTTCCAATTCAAGGTGCAGGTGCTTACCTACAAAGCCCTAAATGGTTTAGGACCCGTCTACCTGCGTGACCGCATCACTGTGTATGAACCCATGCGATCTCTTCAATCATCTGGAGAGGCCCTGCTCACACTCCTGCCTCCATCGCAAGTGTGATTGGTGGGGACGAGGGACAGGGCCTTCTCTGTGGTGGCTCCTTGACTCTGGAACTCACTCCCCAGGGACATCAGGCATGCCCCAACTCTGGCAGTCTTTAGGAGGAGACTGAAAACGTGGCTGTTCCAGTGTGCCTTCCCGGAATAAAGAAATAATTCCCAGCAAAATGTCCTTACCAATGCACTTTAACTACTGGATTGCGTTGGACTGCGCCCTCACTTCTTAAAACCCTCCTTCCAGATATATTCCACCTTGTTCATGCCCAGCGTTATTTTTAAATTTTAAATTATTACATTTGGCCTGGCCATAGGTTTTTAATCCTTGTGTGTTGTTGTTATATGTGATTTATATTAATTTGTATTGCATTGTATTGTTTTGTTTATTGCTTTTCTGTTTTACTGTTGCGTTATTGGGCTTGGCCTCATGTAAGCCGCTCCGAGTCCCTTGGGGAGATGGTGGCGGGTATAAATAAAGTTTTATTATTATAGTTTTATTATTATTATTATTATTATTAATAATGTTTTACAGTGGCACTACTTATTTCCAAGGGAAATAAGACAGGCCCCATCCCTCCCTTCCTTTCGTAAGAGCTTGAAGACCTGGTGATTTCAACAAGCCTTTGAAAATGGCCAGTTCTAACCCAGCCCCACACATTGTCTAATACGGCCTTATTCTTCCTACCAATTACCCAGATCATTTCCTCTAGTCGGTCCTGGAATGAACAGCCACAGATCCGTACCTAATATTATTGTTGCCTGCCATAGCATTGCATTTAATTCCCGGGGGGCCCTAGAATTTTTGGGCTTGCACAAATCTTGGCCCAGCCTTTAATTTTTTTTAATTGCCTTGAACAGGCAGGATTACTTTTAATATATGTGTGTTATGGCGACAATTTTTATGCATATTTTGTTTTGTTAATCTTAAGATTATGTTGTTTTTACTTTGTATGTTCTGTGTTTTTTTTACCTGGGAACCGCTCTGAGTCCCCTCGGGAAAATAGAGCGGTATATAAATAAAGTTATTATTTATTTATTTATTTATTTAAACTAAATTTCAACTCTCATTGCCATGGAGCAATGCAATAGAATCCTGGGATTTGTAGTTTGATGAGGCCCACACACTATTTGGCAGAGAAGACTAAAGGCCTTCCAAAAGTACACCCCCAAAGCATTAAGACCCGAATGTGTCCAGAGGAGAGCGACTAAAATGATAAAAGGTCTGGAGAACAAGCCCTATGAGGAGCGGCTTAAGGAGCTGGGCATGTTTAGCCTGAAGAAGAGAAGGCTGAGAGGAGATATGATAGCCATGCATAAATATGTGAGAGGAAGCCACAGGGAGGAGGGAGCAAGCTTGTTTTCTGCTTCCCTGGAGACTAGGATACGGAACAATGGCTTCAAACTACAAGAGAGGAGATTCCATCTGAACATGAGGAAGAACTTCCTGACTGTGAGAGCCGTTCAGCAGTGGAACTCTCTGCCCCGGAGTGTGGTGGAGGCTCCTTCTTTGGAAACTTTTAAACAGAGGCTGGATGGCCATCTGTCAGGGGTGATTTGAATGCAATATTCCTGCTTCTTGGCAGGGGGTTGGACTGGATGGCCCATGAGGCCTCTTCCAACTCTTTGATTCTATGATTTGATTCTATGATAAGACTTGGCACTTAAAGTGCTGTCAAACTGCATTAATTCTCCAGTGTAGATGCACCCTTGTTCTCCCTCCCCTTCCCGAATATTCTCACGTAGGTGTAGCAGGCGAGGGCTTTGGTAAGCTCTCCTCGCTGGCTGAGCATCGTCCCTTCTGCCATGAAGCTGGGGAAGGTCCCCCGCAAAGCGTCGCCCTCCGAGTCCACCATCCTTAGAGCTGGCAAGGCCGAGGAGGACGCTGCAACGTTGCTTGGCAACGCGCTGCCTAGCAACGCCAGCACTTCCGGAAACCCAACGGGACTTCGGAGGAGTCAAACAAGTTGAGCAACGCCGGGAGGCGGGTCTTTCGCGTTGGCTGTCTTATAGTTCCATTCCTTCCCATTGTTGCACTCCCGCCAAAATGTGATCCTTGCTTTCTCTTTGGCTGTCCTCATTACTAATAGAAATCAATGAGACAACCAATATCAACCAAATCAATCAAACTTTAGATCCCAAAACAAATCTATATATATATAAATGCTCTGTGCATAATGAGTACCTTAAAAACAAAAGAACCAATGAATGAAATCACACCAAATTTGGCAACAAAACGTCTTACAACACAAGAAGTGACCAAATTATGATTTTGTCATTTGGGAGTTGTAGTTGCTGGGATTTATAGTTCACCTACAATCAAAGAGCATCCTGAACTCCATCAACGATGGAATTGAACCAAACTTGGCGCACAGAACTCCCTTGACCAACAGAAAATACTGGAAGGGTTTGGTGGGTATTGACCTTGAGTTTGGGAGTTGTAGTTCACCTACATCTAGAGAGCACTGTGGGCTCAAACAATGATGGGTCTGGACCAAACTTAGCAGGGGTACTCAATATGCCTAAATATGAACACAGATGGTTTTTGGAGGAAATAGGCCTTGACATTTGGGGTTGTAGTTACTGGTATTTATAGTTCACCTCTCACCACACTAAAACAGTGGATGTGGCTCTTAATGAGACATGCCGCATTATTACGGGGTGTCTGCACCCTACACCACTGGAGAAATCACACTGCTTAGCTGGTATTGCACCACCTGACATCCACCAGGAAGTAGCAGCCAATAGTGAAAGGACGAAGGCAAAGACATCTCCAGCTCATCCCTTGCTTGGGTATCAGCCAGCACATCAACAACTTAAATCAAGAAATAGTTTTCTTAGATCTACAGAGAAACTCGCTGGAACACCTCAGCAAGCGAGAGTCCAAAAGTGGCAGGCTCAAACCCAGAACGTCAATCCATGGGTGATACCAGATGAGAGACTCCCTCCTGGGCACACAGAAGACTGGGCGACTTGGAAGGCTCTGAACAGACTGCGCTCTGGCACCACGAGATGCAGAACCAATCTTAAGAAATGGGGCTACAAAGTTGAATCCACGACATGCGAGTGCGGAGAAGAGCAAACCACTGACCACCTGCTTCAATGCAACCTGAGCCCTGCTACATGCACAATGGAGGACATTATTGCGGCAACACCAGAAGCACTCTAAGCGGCCAGATACTGGTCAATGGACATTTAATCAACTACCAAGTTTGCAAAATTTGTGCTTTTTTATCTGTTTGTTCGTTTTGTTCTGTTAGAAATGTAATACAATGGTATGGTTGCTGATGACACGATAAATAAATAAATAGTTCACCTACAATCAAAGAGCATTCTGAACCCCACCAACGACAGAATTGGGCCAAACGTCCCACTGGATGACCTTTTCTGTTTCCATGATCAATAGAAAACAGAAAAGGTCATCCAGTCCAACTCCCTTCACCAGGGCAAGAAAACGTAATCAAATTCCTCCTGACAAAGAGCTATCCAGCCATAGAGATAGATAGAGAGATATGATTCACACATAGATATCATAGATTTGAAAGGGACACCCGAAAATGGACAATTATACGTTGCATGTTTCAGAGTAGGCAAACCAGACAATCTCCACATCAACACTGACAAAGAAACAGCAAGAAATACTGTTTACCCACAAGCATAAAATTTTACATATATTAGAAACCATCACTTTCTCATTACTTTATTTTCCAGATCAGCAGACTGGGCCACAGCAACACATGGCAGGGGACGGCTAGTTACTAATAGAAATAAATTAGACAACCAGTATCAAGCCAAATCAATCAAACTTTAGATCCCATGGGGACTCAGGGCAGCTTACAATGTGAAATAATAAACAATAAATTAAGCAAAACAAATAAACAATGTAAACATTCAATCATAAAAAATAAATTATAATGAAAGGCAATAAAACACATTACGCAATAGTGTTTTATAACAGACTAGCTGTCCCCTGCCATGCGTTGCTGTGGCCCAGTCTGGTGATCTGGAAAATAAAGTAATGAGAAAGTGTTGGTTTCTAATATATGTGATTTCTTTATGCCTGTGGGTAAACAGTATTTCCTGCTGTTTCTTTGTCAGTGTTGATGTGGACTGGAAATTATCAGGTTTGCCTACTCTGGAACATGCAACATATAATTGTCTTTCTTTAGGGGTCCCTTTCAAATCTATGATATGATCTGTGTGTGAATTATATCTATATCTATGGCTAGATGGCTCTTTGTCAGGAGGGCTTTGATTACGTTTTCTTGCTCTGGTGAAGGGAGTTGGATTGGATGGCCTTAAGTATTTACTATTTGTCATGGGGGTTCTGTGTGGGAAGTTTGCCCCAATTCTGTCTGGTGGGGTTCAGAATGCTCTTTGAATGTAGGTGAACTATAAATCCCAGCAACTACAACTCCCAAATGTCAAGGTCTATTTCCCCCAAACTCCACCAGTGTTCATATTTGGGTATATTGACTGCTTGTGCCAAGTTTGGTCCAGATCCATCATTGTTTGAGTCCACAGTGCTCTCTGGATGTAGGTGAACTACAACTCCCAAACTCAAGGCCAATGCCCACCAAACCCTTCTAGTGTTTTCTGTTGTTCATGGGAATCCTGTGTGCCATGTTTGGTTCAATTCGATCGTTGGTGTAGTTCAGAATGCTCTTTGATTGCAGGTTAACTATAAATCCCAGCAACTACAACTCCCAAATGACAAACTCCATTTTTTTTTAGTGATGCTCACTCCTTGGGTTAGTAGGTGTCTTGTGGCCAAATTTGGCGGCAATTCATCGTTAATCCCACAAACAAACTATCTATCTATCTATCTATCTATCTATCTATCTATATATATATATATATATATATAATTTTGAAGATAAACTGGAAGAGGATGAAATTATGAGAATTCAGCACTAATTCCGTTACATTCATAAAATCCAAGGAGCTGTTATTGTTATTTAGCATGCCTCCAACTCTTTTTAATTAACAAAACACTTTGTAACCCTTGAGTAACCCATTCTCAGGAGACAAAGAGGAGATAAGTCAACTCACTTAAAGTCATAAGAGCATGTGCAAATCTGACATAAAATGCCATTGCGAAATGCATTTTATTGGCTTTCATTGTGATTTATGTTTATGATTGAATGTTTATATTGTTTATTTGTTTTGCTTAATTTATTGTTTATTATTTTATGTTGTAAGCTGCCCTGAGTCCCTATCTATAGAAATAAAAATGTAAAGAGCATTCTGAACCCCATGAATGATAGAATTGGGGCAGACTTCCCACATAGAACCCCTATGATCAATGCAAAATACTTAAGGCCATCCAGTCTAACTCCCTTTACCAGGGCAAGAAAACATAATCAAATACTGTTTACCCACAAGCATAAAGAAATTACATGTATTAGAAAGCAACACTTTTTCATTACTTTATTTTCCAGATCACCAGACTGGGCCACAGCAACACGTGGCAGGGGACGGCTAGTATATAAATAAAAATGTAATGTTTGTTTGTTGGATTAACATAACTCAAAAACCAATGGGTGAATTGACACCAAATTTGGACACAACACACCTATCAGGCCAACGAGTGACCATCACTCATAAAAGCACTAAAAAACACAGTAGAAGAGACTGAAAAAGCAAAAAAAAAATACAATGCATGTGCAAAACCACATATACAGAAATATATATACACATATATAAACACACATATATACAGACTGGACCACAGCAATGTGTGGCAGGGGACGGCTTGTGTGTGTGTGTATTACTTTACTTGGGCGATCCCTCGTTGGACGAGTAGGATAGTCTTCCAGGATCAGTATTCTTGTGAATTCGTAGGTGACTGTGGAGCCCTATTCTTGATCTCCATGTTCTCCCACAGTGAGGGCATTGGTTTCCAGGTGGAAGGCGGTCTCAGTCGGGGTTAGCTTGACGTGCCTTCCTCTTGGCATGTTTCTCTCTTTCATCCTCCATTCGTGCCTCTTCAAATTCTGCAGCACTCCTGGTCACAGCTGACCTCCAGCTGGAGCACTCAAGGGCCAGGGCTTCCCAGTTCTCAGTGTCTATGCCAGAGTTTTTAAGGCTGGTTTTGAGCCCATCTTTAAATCTCTTTTCCTGCCCACCAACATTCCGTTTTCCATTCTTGAGTTCGGAGTAGAGCAACTGCTTTGGGAGACGGTGGTCAGGCATCCGGACAATGTGGCCGGTCCAGCGGAGTTGATGGCGGAGAACCATCACTTCAGTGGTGATGGTCTTTGCTTCTTCCAGCACGCTCATGTTTGTCCGCGTGTCTTCCCAAGAGATTTGCAGGATTTTCCGGAGGCAGCGCTGATGGAATCATTCCAGGAGTTGCATGTGACGTCTGTAGATAGTCCACGTTTCGCAGGCGTATAGCAGGGTTGGGAGGACAATAGCTTTATAAACAAGCATCTTGGTATCCCTACGGATGTCCTCAAACACTCTCTGCTTCATTTGGAAGAATGCTGCACTCGCAGAGCTCAGGCGGTGTTGTATTTCGATGTTGATGTTAACTTTGGTGGAGAGGTGGCTGCCATAGGAGCGGAAATGACCAACATTTTCTAATGTTACACCACTAAGCTGTATCTCTGGCATTGGAGAGGGGTTGGCTGGTGACTGCTGGAACAGCACTTGGGTTTCTCAATGTTCAGTGACAGGTCGAGCTTCCCGTATGCTTCTGCAAAGGTGTTTAAAGTGGCTTGTAGATATATATTTGTATTAGAGATCAGTGTTGCCATATGTGTTCCCAGGGCAAGTTGATTTGTGTATATATTATAATTTTTTATCCTACTGTTCAGCCTGCAAGGCCCAGAGTGAATTTACACGGCGCCTGTAGGAACAACAATGTGTGATTAAA